TTTGTTTTATTCAGGCCTTCAACTGAGAGGATGAGGCCCACATTAGGGAAGGCAATGTGCTTTGCCTGCCAATTTAAATGTCAATCTCATTCAAAAGCACCCTCATAGACACACCCAGAATAATGTTTGACCCAGTCAAGTTGACACATAAAATTAACAATTACAGATGTGCATGCATGGTTTCCTTTTGTCTTCATAACAGCCCTCCAAGGGAGGTGGAGGGGGAGTTATCAGAGAAGGGTTGTTTCTGGAAAGGAAGGAGGGAGAGTGGGATCTACAGTAGAAGACAGCCCTGGGAGTGGCATAGAGCCGCAGGACCTGGGGTATTTCCTGGGTAGCTGTGGGAAGATCAGGCAGCCAGATTTGGGCAGCCAAAAGCTAGCAAGAGCAAGGGTGATCCAGAAAAGGGAGCTGTTGTCTAGGGAATGCCACTAATAAAGCACACCTGCATTCCATGTTTGCTGCCTGCCCAGTGGGGCTGTGCTTTACACAGACTCATTTATTTAATTGTCACCCAAAGAGGTGTGCAACCAAGAGAGTATAACCCAAAGAGGTAAGTACTGTTAATGTCCACCTTTTACAAGTTAGGAAACCAAGGCTCAGAAAAGTTACATGGCCTTCCCAAGGTCACCTAATTAGCAGGTGGTAGAGCAGCAGTGTGTGAATGCAGGCTGCTCCAGAGCCTGAGCTCTCCTGCCTCCTCTGCCCAGTGCCGTGGGGACGGCATTAGCCTGGGACTCAGCAGCCCAGGATCCTGGCTCTGCCTTGTAGCATCTCGGGTCTCAGCAAGCAGGGACCATGCAGCCACCTTGACACATGCACAGCCAGAGTGTCTGCCTGGGAGGGCATGTAGGAAGCACCAGGCAAAGGGTCTTTCCAAGTCATGGAATGTCGAAAGCAGCAAACAGTCTTAGAGTTTATAATAATAAGAAACATGTACAAGGCACTTTTATGTTTCAGGCAGTATTCTAAGCATGCACATAGATTTATTCTTCAAAATGACACTACTAGGTAGGACATATTAGTACCTTGCTTTCACAGTTGAGGAAACTGAGGCACAGAGGGGCTAAGTCACTTCCTCAACATCACTAGCTGATAATTGACAGAGCCAGGAGAAGAACCCAGGCAGTAGAGTTCCAAAGTATAAGATCTAATCACTAAGCTATATTTTCCCTCACTGGGACAGCTTCCTGTGGCACACAGAGTGTATGTCTGGCACACAGGCTTCTCCTGTGCAAGTAGTTAATCACCTGTCTGCCTTCCCCAGGATTTCCATTCTGAGTTTTTAAGTCTTAGGTTTCCTGCCTGATTGCCCAACACCCCATGCCTGGCACAGGAGGACTCTCAGCAAATGTGTCTGAATTGAGCACAGTCTGGGAGGGCATTCTTGGCAGTTGGCTCCCCACCTCTGCTTGAGACCTTGGTTATGGGGACTCCTCATGGGGGCAATGTGGTCTGTGACCTCACCCTTGACCTTCCTCCTTGACAAGCCCTAGTGACTCTTTGCTGCTGGTTGGGAGGGAGATTGGGCTCTTCAAAGCTGACTCCAAGAGCCACCAAAATCAGCCCTTCCCCATCAGAACGCTACCCACATCACACTGGCCATGTAATCCTTATGCTGCAGGCCTCTAGGAGGGAGGGGATTTGGTTCCTCCCCTTGGCTGGGCCTCCCCCTTCCTGTGGGCATGTGCTGCTATTCCATGCATCTCATTCTCTGACCACCTGGTTGCTCGTTGCAGGGCACCTCCAGACCGACACGGTCGCTGAGCACAGCTCAGCTCATGCAGCCCTCTGGGGGCCTCCAGGCTTCAGTCATCTCCAACATCGTGCTGATGAAGGGCCAAGCTAAGGTAAGCAAGGCCTTTGCCAGCAGGAAATCCTGGAGCAGCACCAGTTTCTGAGGAGCTGAGCTGTTGAGTCCAGGGAAGGGTGGGAACAGGGCTAGCAGAGTGTCGTGGCACGCCAGAAAGCAGCAAGCACAAACAAGTTCTGTCTTTTAAAATCCAGAACCAGCTGAGTTTCAAGCAACACACATTTTTCTAATTAGACAAAGTGATCATTTCCTTGCAGATGACACCGTCCCCTTCCAACTGCCTTAGTATTGTCAAAGCTTGTTTACTAATGCGTTCCCGGTATGATATTTTCCAGGACTCAGTTTTACCTGATACATAAATCCAAATCATTTTCACAGATGTCTGGATCCTGATTCTACCTCCAGTATTCAGTTGTTGGCATAATAAAGCATGGATCTCTATATAAAAATACATGTATATATGCTGCCTGCCACTCGTGGGTAATTCGGTGCTGTATAATGCTTTTTGCTGTCAGTTGGAGCCTCCTAAGGAGTAAGAGTTACTCTAGCTCTTGCTAGAGGATGAGGCATCATACTGATTTCTGCCCCACAATTGAGAAATATCAAAAGGGGGAGCAAAAATATCAGTGGTTTGGGGGGCATCCCAATGTTTCTTTGCATTGTCCCCCAGACATGCATGCTACTGTGTGCCTGAGGTTGACATGCACATTACAGTAACTGGAATAGACACCAGCAGGTGCTGCAAAGTTCTCCGGCTAGCCCAAGCAACTCAGGTGCTGAGAGAATGAAAGGCTGGTGTCTTTAATCTAATATACTTTGGGGGTATGATGTAAGGGGGAGATCTAACTGCTGCTTATGGTCTTTCCAGAAGGAGGGACCTTCCGCACACCTGGAGTTCTCTCTCTCTCTGTCTCCTGTTCCTTTTCTCTCCTGGGAGCTCAGCACTGTATGCCCAAGGATACTAAGTAGCACGTATGTGGTAGGAATGAGGTCCAGTGTGCAGCATGAGGACGACGGTTGACAGTAGCATATACTGTGCTCAGGACTATGATGAGTAGGTCACACCTGCTCTTGCCACAGAGAGGAAGGGGGGAAAGAGACGGGCAACTGTGTGAGATGATGGATGTGCTGATTCGCTCCACTATAGAAACCAGGTCACTCTATACGTGTATATCTTTTTGTTGTTTAATGCAAATAGCTTTATTTGCATTTTAATGATAAATTGATATTTTTATAAATATAAAATCACAAAGAAGAAAATAAATATCCCTGGAGGTCTTACTTCCATAGAAAATTGATATTAGTATTTTGTTATGCTGCATTCAAATAATTTTTTATATATTTATAAGCACATACACCCACAGCATTTTATATATGGGATCACACAAAACAGTATTATATTGCCATTATGTGGTTTTTTAAATTGAAACATAATTGATTATACATATTTGTGGGTACAGAATTGACTATGAATACTTGTGTATAATAGGTGATGATTGAATTAGGATAATTAGCATATTCATCATTACAAACACGATCATTCTTTGTGCCCATTAACCAACTTTTCACTAGCCCTCGCACCCCCTCCCCCTTTTCCACTTCTAGTCACCACAGTTCTGTCCTCTCCTTCTGACAGTGAAAGCAAAACTATGGAATGCTTCACAAATTTGTGTGTCATCCTTGCTCAGGGGCTTTGCTAGTCTCTGTATCGTTGCAACTTTAGTATATGTGCTGCCGAAGCGAGCACGTACGTGCAGGCATCTTATAGCATCACGTTGTCTACCGTAAATATACACAATAGAATTTAT